TATAAAATTAAAGTGATTATTCATATCTTTGTATTATAATGAGCATCAGCTGAATGTTTACTATTTTAGCTATCAAGGTTCCAGTAATTTAATTACCTCGTAATTGTGAATGTTGGTATTATAACAAATTTTAATAACATCTTTTGATATTTCAGTTCACGTTCTGAAATGAGATCTTAATGAATATTTAGATAAATACTAGTAAAATGCAATTTCTTGTTGTTTATGATTGTTTCAGCACTTGCACTTTGTTCTTGTAGCCGGCAATAAACAACTCAAACAAATTAAATTAAGGATAAATGGCAACATCAACTAGAAAGGTCACCTTTGATGAATTTTTTCGAGCTCTTTTCAATGAAAAAGGAGAACAATGGACTCCCACAGATCTACGAGATGATCATGATAGAAAAGAAGCACTGAAGCAGAAAATGGACAAATTCATAAATGAACTTGAAAGCTCTCAATTTTATCATGATTTTCGAGACGAGGTACAAGGTTCTCATATTTCTGAACACATTCGCTGGTTTTTGGTGTCAGAGTCAAAGATGCGAATAGTAATTTATGGTATAGGTAGCATTGAATCAGATGAGAAACACTCACCTACATTACAACTTGGTCTTGCATTATTAATGAAAAAAGATTTTGGTTGGATTGAGGGGATAGAATTATTTGATCCTATCCTTTCAAAAACTGAAATCCAAGTTTTGGAATCTCTTGGTTGTTCTGTCTCATATCTCAACGAATATGGAAGGAGGAAAGTCCTAAAACCAACAATGTTCTTCATGCCACATTGTGATATAAGGCTATACAACAACCTTCTGGAAGAAAATTGGAAACCGGAGCTATTAAGCAATATTATCATATTTGGTAACAGCTTTGATTCTTATATCAAGCATCCTCCAGATGTTTCAAAGATCTTCCATACAAATGATCCAAGAATAAGAAAATTAGGTATTTGGGCACTGATGGGAAATATTTTAGCTTCTCAAACATTTACAAGTGAGTTTAAAATGAGGACAATTTCTTATGATCGTCATAAAATTGGTCAAGATGCAAGTTTCCAGCGAGACTGTGATATTTCCTTTTTCAATTTAAGTTGGCATTTTTTTAGCTCTCTCACAAGGAGAAGGATGCGATTAGTGAGAGAGAATACTAGAAACGAATATGGTGCATCTGTGGGACTGAGATCGAGAATTGTAGTACGTCAGAAAAAAGAAAATGTGGCTACCAGCAACACGTCTCTAGAGGAGTAATGTTTTCGTCCTCATCAGAAATGAAAGCAAGAATCTTGGTTGTCTTCTTATTATAATAATACTCCACTGGCCATCGTTTTACTTTCTTGTGTTTTTTTTTCTTCACCAATTTGAAACCCTAATCCCTTCCAATGAAATGGTTAAGTCTAGAAATCCCAAATCCTGTGATCTATCATCGGCCATTATTCCTTATTCCTGAGAATAAAGTTGAGGGTAATATTTTTAGTGCATCAATGGAGCTTTAATTTTTGTTTAATTGCATGGCATCTCTGGGGCAACTTTTACGTGTTAGCTTCTTTCTTTCTACCTTGAAAGGTATAAGTGAATCTCAATTGGATTTTATCCAAATGTGCTTCAGCGATGCATATTCCCAGCACTAAAGAATATCCCTAGCAAACTTTGGAACCTAGTCACACATCAACTTATCAATATTTCAAAAGCAACTTATCAAAATCTGAACATGATTTGTTAAAGTTGGAACCCTAAAGTGGGGAGGATGTCATATAAGGCCCAAAATTTTTTGAAACATTTATTTGAAATTAAATGGTGCGGTTTAAGTAATAAAATGCCTTTCATTTAATTTTTTTTTATAAGCCCTTTCATTTAATTTTAAAAGACAAAAACAAAAACCACATCAATACATAAATATCATTGTTCATTATATATCATTATTCTTGTCCTTGAAGATAAAGATCACAGTAATTAATATATCATTTAATCAATTTTCTAAGTATCATCTGTAGTCATCTTGACAACTACCTTGGAACTTGATATGATTCACATAGTGGTTACGGTCTTCATGGCTTCAAGCCTTGGTTCTTTGGCCTGAAATTAGTTTAGTAACTCTTATTTTTAAAAATCAGAAGAATTGATACAAAATGCACAAGCAATTGCTTATACATTATACCAGGTCTTCTTTTTTTTTTTTGCCACGTATAAATATTTTCGGATTGGAAGTAATCATATTAAAGGCATTGCTAAAAAAAAAAAGTGAATATGAATTGAATTTTATCCAAACGTGGTTCGGAGATATATATTCCCAGCAGTAGAGAACAAATATCCCAGGTAAACTTTGGAACCTTCTCACATATCAACTTATCATCAATATTCCAAAACCAATTTGTCAAAATCCGAATTATGATTTGTTGAAATTGGAACCCAAAACAGGGAAGTTGTCATCACAAGGGCTCTTAAAGCAAGAAAATGTCATTTAAGGCCCGTACAATTTTTGAAACATCACTATAAATCCTAGAGCCTTGATCATTTATTTGGAATTAAATTTTGTGGTTTGTGGACTAAAATGCCTTTCATTTAATTTTAAAAAGAAAAAAAGAAACAAAAGCCACATCAATATATAAATATCATTGTTCATTATATCATTATTTTTGTCCTTGATGATAAAGTTCATGCATATCTACTGTTCATTCATTCTCTCTCTCTCTCACTAGAAGCCAGATTTCTACTCTTCATCTCCGCTCGCAGAACACACACGCATCTATATGGAGGAAGTAGTGATTGGATATTATAACGTCATAATGTCGATTACGTCGTCAGTTACGTTTAAAAAGGAAGAGAAAATATATTAAATTTATTACCCCTTTGATTTGTCAAGTAACATATGGGAAATCATGTAGTTAAATGTGTGTGTATTTTGCGTTAGAGAGACTTCTTGATCAATAATTAAACATAACTTAATTTGCTAAATATCATCAGTAGTCATCTTATCGATTTGACTTAGAACTTGATATATTGTTCACATGGTGGCTGCGGTCTTTACTCCAAACTTCGGCTCTTAACCCAGAAATTAATTAAGCAGCCCTTTAACTTTTTTTAACCAGCTGACTCCTTATTGTCTTATAGCATGTCTAAAAATAATTAAGCAGCCCTTTCCGTTTTTGTTAACCAGCTGTTTGGCCCAGAATTCTAGTGGGCCTGAACCCAAGAGGAGGGTAAGTACAACGATCCACTAAATTTAGCAGAGTAGTAGCTAAGGGTGTCTGGATCTGAATTGAATTGATGGAGCCCAACAGAATCTTTAGGCACTATTTGGAACAAAACATTAAAAATAAGAGATATGGATTAGAATTGAGATTAAAAAATAATATTTAACATGAGAAATTACTTATTATATAGGATTAGACAAACCTATATATGTGGGATTGGAAAATACTATGGAAAAAAGAGGTATTCCCCAGTCCTGCTTCTATAAGTTTGTCTAATATCATATAATAAGTAATTATTCATGCTAAAAAAATTTTTAATAATTTTTTTAAAATTGTAATCCTAGTTTATATCCCTCATTTTCAATATTTCCTACCAAACGGACTTTAAATATTAGTTGATATATATTTTGGAAAAAAAAAGGGATAATTTGATCGTGCCGTAGTAATCAATTTAACATCAGACTCATATTTACTTTGCTGTAATTTTTTTTTTGGGGATGCGGATGACTTTTTAGTATTATTAATTGCATCACATGAGTGGTGCATGGAATTAAGGAAAGGATATGATGATTCATGAATTAAGGAAAGGCAGTGTACTAAGAAACCAATCAAGCCCAACCTCGTGCTAAGTCATTGGCTGGAGCCTGGTCCTAAACCAATCCTAATCCTAAACATCAAAGTAGATATGGTGGCCTAGAGAGAGAGAGAGAGAGAGAGAGAGAGAGAACATTCAATACTTCTATTGGGTTGGCAAACTTCGAGTTAAACATGTACCGCTGCATTGTTGGTCCAAACCAATTAAAATTATGTAAATTTAACTGAATATCAATCGAGTATATAAAAAACGCATGTTGCAGTATGAGTTCATTATTCACGTCCTTCTCAGGGTGTTTGGATGGCTTAATAATCCCTTTCAAAAAGAATTTTTTGTTAAATTAAGACAAATTCCTCTATATATTTATTTTGTATATTGTAAAAACACTTTTAAAATACTACTTCCAGTTCTTAATATAAAACCATGTTTGACTTTTATTTTAGTCCTAAATATAAGACTTCAATCCACTTTGTCTCTCATATTTATACATTTTTTTTCAACGTAGCCGTTCTAATAATAAGAATTCTAATCAATACACTTGATTAGTAAGGATATTTTAGGAAAGACAACACTTATTTAGGACAGATAACTAACTCAACTTACTTCCTTAATCTCTTTAAATTAGTCAACTGGGTCTTATGATTTTGTTTCTATCCAAATATCTTTTTAATTGGACTCTTCTTAATAAGTTTGGTTGACCTAAATCTGCGAGGGAGAGTTTGTAGCATATTTTCTAACCTAATATTCCCTTCAAAACCATCTGCCCTTCTTCACCAAAACTCGCCCCAGTTTTTGACTCTTTCCGACATCTCACTGTTACTTTTTTGAATTCTCATCTTTAACCCTTTAGCTAAATTTAATTCACGAGATTTTAATTTTGTCACACCTATGATTCAATAATCATTTACAAAATATTTTAAGTCAAAATGTCTGCCTCCTTGTCTGATGCCTAAAATAAAGATAATCATCAATTGTCCCTATGTGTAATATCGTGTTTATAATTCTCTAAAACCCTTCAATTTTTTTTCAAATTACCGCGTAAATAAGTTTGTCTTTTATCGTGGAATTGCCCCCAGCTAACACGTCAGAAATCAAAAGGAGACGATACATTTTCAGATGATGAGACTCATAAATTGAATTTTCTTTTTTCGCCATCGCATAAACAGAATAATCTATAGGGAAAACAATATTAGAATATATATGTAAAAATCGTCACAACAAAATTCATACTATGTGGTCGTATTACAGTGTGAGGTATCGAGTTGGTGGCGGAAAAACAAGAAGAACAAATTTCCCATCAAGCGATGGAAAATGGAGTCCTCACGGAATCCCAGAAGGAAAAGAAAGGAAAATAGATGGTGAGGAATTTCAGAAGATGTCGAGAATCTCGAGGATCGAACGGTTACAGAGGGGACAGGTCCCTCGGTTGAGCCACAGCTCTCTGGAGCACACTCTGCAAAAAGTATGCCCACATGGGATAAATGCCGCTCCTTTCTTCCTTCCCATGCACACGCAGCACACCGTATCATTCCCCGTTCCTCCGTTCTCCGTCACCGTCACCGTCATGTCCACGTCGCCTCCCTCACCCTCCTCTAGCAGCCTCATCAGCGACACCCTCCACGGCGTCCCCGGCGCAGCACCCACTCCTTCCGGCCGGAAATTGTCTCCGGTGGTTCCTTGCCTCCCAGTTTCTGGTTCTTGCGTCCCCCGAAATTGACGCTCCGCCGCCAATGCAGCCGCAAGATTCATGCCCGAACCCGCTGGGTTGGGGCTCAAACAATCCGGGTCTGATGAGCTCGATCTTTGACCAGGATTCTGTTCTTGAAGCCTTTGCCGCTGCTGCCGCCGTTCGTCGTCGTCTTCTTCTTCCTCCTCCTCCTCTCCTTCGCGTCTAACGGAGGCCGGACGAAAACCCCAGGTGGCCCCACAACACCCCATACCGGTGAATCTTAGCCGTTCTTTTAAACTCCGTCTCCTTCGAGGCTCTCTATCACTATGATCATCCCCGTTCGCAGATTCCATCTGCTCCGTTAACAAACCCAGAATCGTTCTTTCCTCTCGGTCTCTCTGAAGCGATTCCCGCAACATTAGCCCAAGTTGACTCATCGCGGCGCCTGCTTAGAGGAGCTAAAAGACGCAGAAGCAGGAACAATTACAGCAAGAATAACAAGTATGAGCGAGAGATTGAGGGGGACATGGAAGAAGATGAGATAAAAGAATGAGGCAATTAGAGAGAAGAAGCCGTGAGGATTGTGAAGAACATTTAAAACGCAACGTCACTTCAGGAGGAGGTGGGGAAAATGACAGAAACGAACCGAGAAGAAGATGGGGCCAAAGAAGAAAGCCGCATCAGAGAGGTTGGGGGTTTAATTAATGCTCCTGGGGCTGGAGGGGGGCACAAGAAATGAACCTCCGTCGATATCGAAATTGGAAGCAAGAAAATTAGGGAAAAGTGGAAGAAAGGACAAAATAGAAGGGCGAGGGGACGGAATGAGCACAGGAGGAGGAGGGAAACGGGGTTTCTTACTTCCTTCACAGAGTAATATTCTTCTTTATATACCCTCTCGACTTTTGAGTCACAGAAACTCGATTTTCTTTTCTTTTCTTTTTTCACTTTGCAGGGAAAGAGTAACGCCAGCACGAGCTTCTTGAATCTCTTGTCCTTCGACGCGGCGCCCATATTTATTACCGTCTTTAATTGACTTTGAGGACTACGCATATTGTTTTAAAATAAATAAACGTAACCAAATTTGCATGTAAATGCACCGCAACATAACAAGTCTGAGGGCAAAGTCACAAGAAAAATAATACAAACCCGTGTGAGTTAAAGAGTAATTATAAAAAGGTAGTTAAAATCGGATCCTTGAATCAGTTATAGTGGTGAAGGGTCATTAGTCCAAATGTAATTAAATTGGCGCAGAGAAAAAATATTAGTTAAGGAATTTGTTTTTACTGCTCTATTTGAATTTTAGAATTCTGGTTATAAATATATTGCAAATTTGCTATTTTTATAAGCTTTATTTCTTATATAATTATTCTCTCTAACTTTTAAAATTTTACAATGAACATGTAAACTTTTACATTTGTATAGATAACCCTGAACTATTAAACTTATACCATCTTAAACTTGATTTTCATATACATATAACTTATTATTTTTTTTTATTTGCTAATAAACAATCAGAAAAATTAAATAGTTCTGTTGTCCGCGTAAACGTGGAAAACTATGGAGGTTTACAAAATTTAGGACAAATTATTTACAAATAACATGAATTGCAGGGGAATTTTGTGCAATCTAATCCTATTTTTTGTATTATAAATATAATATCAGTATTTCCAGTGTGAATAAAAATAAATTGAATACAATTTAAAATATTTCAACAGAGAGAGTGAAACGGAATGAAAATAGTATTCAAAGATAAAATAGAAAATATGATTGTTATTTTGATTTATTTGGGATAAAGCGTCGAGAAAACGACACAAAAATGACACTTGAATTTGGAAATACCAAAATGGTCACTTCAATTTGCAAAATCCTAATTTATTCATAAGTGACCAATTTGACATTTGTAAATTTATTGAAATGACTACATTACCTTTTATTTTATTTATTGTTTTTTAAAAAAACCAAATGCCCTACTGACTTGCCAGTCGCCGGAGCTCAGGTGGCTGCTGTCACCGGAGCTCCGGTAGCTTATGCCAATCGGTCGCCTGAGCTTCGGCGGCTAGCAACAATTTTTTTGAAATTTTTTACAATTTTAGTAAAACGGTTAGCAAGTTTTGTAACGCTATTAACAAATTCAGTATAGCAGTTAATAACAGGTTTTTTAGAAAATTCAAAAAGTAGCATTTTTACAACTTCATTAACGCCATTAACAAGTTCCATAACTCTATTAACAACTGCGATATAATATTTAACAACAGGTTTTTTAAAAAATTAAAAAAAAGTTTTTACAACTTTAGTAACTACTTTTTTTGGAAAATTTTTATCATTTCAGTAAAACAGTTAACAAGTTTTGTAATGTTATTAACAAGTTCAGTATAGCAGTTAACAATAGGTTTTTCAAAAAATTCAAAAAGTAGTATTTTTACAATTTTAGTAATGCCATTAACAAATTTGGTATAGCATTTAATAACAAATTTTTTTAAAAAATTCAAAAAGTGGCTTTTTACAACTTTAGTAATACGGTTAACAAGTCATGTAACGATATTAACAATTCTTATTACCATAATGGCTGCCTAATAAGTGAAAAAATTTTGTTGTACAACTTTCATAGGGAGCTAATATAAAAAACATCAACCTTTATAAGAGTTGTTAATATCATTACATGACTTGTTAATCGTGTTACCGAAGTTGTAAAAATGTCACTTTTTGAATTTTTCAGAAAACCTGTTGTTAAATGCTATACAGAACGTGTTAATAGAGTTACAAAACTTGTTAAGGATATTACTGAAGTTCTAAAAATGCTACTTTTTAAATTTCCTGAAAAACTTGTTGTTAACTGTTATACTGAACTTGTTAATAGTGTTACAAAACTTGTTAACCGTTTTACTGAAATTGTAAAAATTTTCAAAAAAAAAAAGTAATTACTAAAGTTATAAAAATACCTTTTTTTGAATTTTCTAAAAAACATGTTATTAAATGTTGTACTGAACTTATTAATAGTATTACAAAACTTATTAACCTTTTATTAAAATTGTAAAATTTCTTAAAAAAAGTAGTTACTAAAGTTGTAGAAATACCTTTTTTTATTTTTTCAAAAAATTTGTTGTTAAATGTTATACCAAATTTGTTAATAGAGTTATGAAACTTGTTAACAAGATTACTGAAGTTGTAAAAATGCTGTTTTTTGGATTTTTTAAAAAATTTGTTGTCAACTGTTATACTAAACTTGTTGATAGCGTTATAAAGCTTGTTAACTGTTTTACTGAAATTGTAAAAAATTTAAAAAATTTATTGCCAGCCACTTCAGCTCCTGCGGCCGCTGCGGCACGAGCTTTGACGACTGATCAGCCAGTGGATTTTTTTTTTAAAATATAATAAATAAAATAAAAATAATATGATCATTTCAATAAATTTACAAATATCAAATTGGTCACTTATAACTAAATTAAGATTTTACAAATTCAAGTAACTATTTTAACATTTTTAAATTTAAGTGTCATATTTGTATCATTTTTCCTCAAGCGTCAGGCGTGGTTGCAGGCTAGCTCATATGGCGAATGGGGGCCGGTCTGAGGGAGGGAAAGTCAAAAAGCCGCTGGAGCCGGCATGGGGACCGAGTTGTTCAGGCCACGTGGCGCTATCCCTTCTACAAATTGCTTCTTCTCCGCACGCTTCTCCCTCCTTTATTTGCATCCTAATCCACATTATAATACATAAATCCCTTTCACTTAAAATCAATTAATTTGCTCCTCTTCTTCATGCACTGCATAATCTATTTGTCCCCTTAATAATCCTTTAAATTGCAGGAAAAAAAAATAATAATCCTTTATGTCATATCTCATGTTTGTCCTCCCATATTTATTTTTCTTTTAATGCCACATACATACCATGCTCTCCCAATCTTCAATATCTCTCAATTAATAACATATAGGATAAATTAATATATTTATATTTGTCAATTCTGTCTATTTGTAATTATATATCTCACCAAATTAAATTATTCACCCCATTTGTAGTGTCTCTTTCCTGCTCCTACAACACAATCAAGACTTCAATATAAAATTTAGTTTTTCTGTTATTGTGTCAATTCCACACACACACACACACATTCAATGATTCATATCACTTTCATGCATTTTTTTGGGGATACAGATCAGTTTCATGCATAGATAATAAAAATAGATATTAATTGTTGACTAAGGCCTTCTATGGATCGGAAGGCAAGGAAATCTTCCACTTAATTTTCTCTATTTTAAAGGTTCGACATAAATTTGAGACATTGCCCCAAGCCTCCAAGCTCATTAAATTTATTCTCTGGTGACCCCATCATTTATTTTTGGTCGAAAGACCCAATCATTAATTAGCGTGTGTCATTTTTTTAATTAGCAAACTGATTCAATTATTATTATTAATACATTAATTCAGCAGTACTTGATAAGTTTATTTTGTCAAACAGACAAAAGCAGTAGGTACTCTTTCACCCAAAAAAAAACAAAACAGTAGTAACTAGTAAATCTATTTAGGTTATCGTTTTATAAAGTCGAAAAGATTGGAGAGATAATGGGTTAAATAATGCGTGTATTGTAAAATCCAAAGCTAATTTGTTCTTCAAATAAGTATCACATGCGAAGTCCAGAAGGGAAGCATTATTATATTTTTTTTAAAAAAACCAAGGGTTATCGCCCAATTATATATAGTTAGGAATAAAAATGCACCTAATTAACCTAATCAACCTAGATCAGGTATGAAAATGCTAGCTAGCCTCCCACGCATACTTCTAATTAGTTGTACCTACATATATATAACCCTATCCCCCACCCATAATATATAAATATATATATATATATATGTATGTATTGCCTAGAGACCCACCTGATCACATCTTCCTTCTCAATTTTTATATGTCTTAGACTTTCCTTCAGCTAGAGCCTAGAATTAATAACTAGTATCGTTATCTTTCTTTAATGAGCATCATGCGTAATAATCTTCCTTGATTAGTTGTATTCTGGGGAGAAAACTTGGCGTCGATGACTTGATTTTGTTGAATTAATTCGGGTCGACTCATTGTTTTGGTTTGGAAAAAAAAGACAAGATTCTAGTGGTTCGTTCAATCTGATCTCTAACCATTAGCATACATAATGTTAATAGAAAAAACATAATTATTATTTGGGTGCATGCCACTATTTAGTTTTATTTAACAAAAAAAAATCAAATATACTCCCTCCATTTCTTAATATAATAATTACTTATTAACTAATTTAAGTAAATTAAGAAAGTCGAATAAATTAATTCATTACATAATTTTTTTTAAATGCTTATCATAATATTATATTACACATCAGTTTATAAAATGACGGAGATCTTGAATACAAAATTAAATTCAACTTCTAGCTAACTCTTATTTTAAAAAACTAGAGAGAGTATTTCATATAGTTTAATTTCATTAGCCGGTTTATTTTACTCCATATCAAAAAAAGCCTTAATAAATCATGATCATCACTTTCTTTCAAAAAGAAAAACTCCTTTTCTTTTCATAGAGAAACATTCTTATTAACAAAATTCCT